GTTTTCACATTGAAATGTTGATGTCTCTTCAGGGAGATGTGTGGGATGGTTTCAAGATGAATGTGGAGAGTACTGGGATGCTCTGGGTGGGTCTCCTCGACTACTATGCACGAGTTTTTGACTTCGACGAACATGTCATCACCATTCGGCAGAAGAAACCTCTTACCCGATTTGAAAAGCTTTGGACAGGAAGTGCTATTGCCATTGAAGGTAAGACATTCTAAAAAAAATTGATCAGTGAAAGTGTAGTTTTATTCAGTGACTTTTTCCTGCATGGGTTATGTAGATCCCTTTGACTTGAGCCATAACCTTGGGAATGGAGTCTCCTTCAAGAGTAAGTAGTTATTTGAATGTTTGAACTCATCACATTTATTGAGATTTCAAAATAATGTGGGTGTTGTATCACTTGCACAGTGGCTCTGTACATCCGCAAGGCATTCATCCGAGCAAGGGAAGTCTTTGGGACACCTCAAGACAAGTTACCAGATTCAGTGAAATATCCTGAAGTGAGCCAACATCCTTCCAAGTTTCTTCCTCTCTTTCTTGCAGCATTTATTAAGCTGATTCTTTTCCTGTAACGCTGAAAATTAAGAGAAAAAAAGTTGTATTGTCTTTTACAGCTGCTTGATAACTTATTCCCTTTCCAGTTCTGGCAAGGGAAGCATTAAATTCTTAATGGAATGACACCATGGACCGTAGTGGTGACATGGTGTCATCCAAACCAATCCAGTGAATCTGAAATATTAAAGTTATTTTTGATACCTCAAGGAGACAGGCATTGAAAGAAAAATTCATCACCCTTTCTGCATGAGATTCATAAAGGGAGATTTTACTAATTGCAAATAATTTTTATTTGCCATTAAAACTTCACTGGATCAATAACTTGATGGAGTTAGGTTTGCTTATCTTAATTTTAGGCTACTTAAATACTGACCCATCCAGTTATGCATTGTTTGCAGGACTACTTCTTCATGAGGGGGTCACTGACAGATGAGCAGCCACCAAATGACCGGGGCTGTCGGTACTGTGGCTGCATAGGACATGTGATCAGGGACTGCCCTC